AACTTTTCTTTTATTACTAAATCTCTTTTTTAACAATGCACAGGGATGCATTATATTATGAAAATATTCATATTTCAAATAAATTATGCTTTTGTAAACCTGTTAATCAAAGGTTCCTGAAAAAAAGGTATTGTGGTTTCCAGTAAAAATATTAAGCCGCGACTGTTTTCAGCTTTGATAGTAATACAACATTTTTCTTGAGAAGCAAATCAGCATATCAGAATGATTTCTGAAGGATTATGTGACACTGAAGACTGATGCTGAAAATTCTGCTTTGCATCACAGAAATAAATTACATATTAAAGTAGAAAACAGATATTTTAAATTCTAATAATATTTTACAGTATCACAGTTTTTTTACTAATTTAAATTAAATTACAAGTAAATGGTTTTGTGAAGTTATTTAAATTTTCATTACTGTTTTTCAGTCAAATTTAAGGAGCTTTTACTCAACTCATGTAAAGCTAAAAACTGATGCTTTGTTTTGTTTTATCCAAGCTAACACTTTACGGTAATGCTCTATTTGTTAACGGTAATAAGGTAATGCATTAGCTAACTTTTTATATTGATATTGTTACATTTTAATTTGTTCATATGCATTTTTATTATCTATTTTAATTAGTATGAATGAATCTTTTAATATTGAATACAATTCTGAATGAAAATTAACTATGAACAGTAGTAATCTACATTAACCGACATTTAATAAAATGAAAATATCATGCATTTAAAAAATATTGTTAATAAATTGTTCATCGTTAGTTCATGTCTAATGCATTAACTGATGTTAAAAAAGTTTCCACTTATCATGAAATGCACTTAAAAGCAGCATAAGCTAAATTCAGTCAGACAGTTGTATCGCCATATTGGACAACAGACCAATTATCGGTTTGGTTCCGATAAGGTTGAAACCAGTGCATCTGTACTGTTTAAAGAGGTTGTGAGGATTTTCTCCACTTTCATGCAGTAAAGAAGCAGATAACACAACAGATACGGCTAGTTTTTGCACATCGCTTGGGATCAGCACCAGGCATCGACATGCATTGACGGTGAGAGAGCAAACATATTCAAAGTAACTGAACCGCCGATTCTTCTGTGTCCACCGCTGCCCTTATCAGCTCATTTTTGTCTGGCTGAGAGAATGAACTGTGTGAATAGTGTGTGAAAGAAAACTGGAGAATAATGGAATCCTCTGTGGTCAGTCCTGGGAGAGAGTCAGCTAAAGATGTGATGAGAGTAGCACATACGTCTTCGCCAGTGTCACGGTTTCTCACAGAGCAGGATTTGTAAAGGAGATAACTCTGTTGTGCAGCTCTCAGGTGGCCAAATGGCTCTCACCTAATCAGATGTCTAGACAATTATGGAAATGAAGTGGGAGCCGGACACACAAAGCATGAGAATTGCAGTCGAAGGTCACTTTGTTTTCAAATAATCAAGCAGGGGAATAGTTTGGCTGAAAAGAAATAAGAGCTATTTATTTTGACATTTCATGTGTCATTGTTGTTTTAACACTGACATTTTTTTGTGGACATGTTTATGCGAATTTGTGCGCTGATTTTAAATCCGAGGAGTTTATCTCCCGATCTCTGTGTAATACTTATCAAAAAGATCATGTTAAATTATTTGTGCATAACCTAATATTCATGAACTAAGGTTTCATGTCTGTAATTTTATTAGGAATTTTAATAAAATAGCAAAAAGTATTCATGAGTGGCCCAAAGCTTTATTCTGTGAAGGCAAACTCAGAGCCATTTTTGGAGACTTTCAAGCTCTCTCCCTAGTAACTGAGGGAATTAAAAATTAAAAACGTGTCTGAAAACGTATCTCTAGTTTTTGTGAACTGTTTCTTATGGCTTTCTTAAAGAAAATGATGCATTAGCAAACTCATTCATGCTATAAAAAACTAAATAATGTATCCTTTTAATAATTAATCATTCTGGACAAGGCAGTTCTCAGCTGGTGGGTTGCAACTTAAAAATGGGTCACATTTCTGTACTAAAAGCGTCACAGACAACAGGGAAACTCTTAACAAATTGCACCTAACCATGCAGTTATACATGCTCATGGCTGGACGTGCCATTGGGCTTGAGTGGGCTGCAGCCCATGGGCCCCACCTTGTAGGGGGCCCCGCCTTTGCCCGTTTACGTTTGTTTGATTTGTTCGTTATATGCCAGTCAGAATTCAGAAATTATTAGCCGCATTTCCACTGCGTACGCAAGATCTCAACGGGCCAGCCGGGGCTACAGCTTACAACTATGACCATCGAGGCCACAATCAAACCACATAAACTGGTATTTATGATTATTTCACATAGAAGAAGGACACACGTATTGAATCGCGTCTGCACCGATTGGTTTGCTATCACAGCTCCATTAAGCCTTTAGCCCCAAAGAGCGCACATTTAGAAAGATAATGATAAATTCTCAAATGTTCACACCTCATTTCTTTGCAGAGGATGATTCTTACTATATTAATGTTCCACTAAATTATGCGATCATTGGATGAGTTTTGAGCGCTCTCGCTCATCTTACTGCCATTATACATAGTGGGGAAGAAATATCATCAAAATGATTTAAAAAATTAAAAAAAAAGCAGTTTAATGAGTTTCTGTTTTTATAACATAGCTATGCCTATGATATAGGACTTAGCCTATCACACAAACAAGAGTCCTGTTTTTTTTTTCTCGAATATCTGTACGATCGCAAATGTACAATAAACAACATCTTACAGAGTAACTTTCAGACAAAAAATTCCATTTTGCTCCGTCAGAAAGAAAATAGAACAAACAGCAGAACCGCTGCGTCTCCGAACAACAGTGTTTTGTTTATGCCAGTTAGAATTCAGAAATTATTAGCCGCATTTCCACTGCGTACGCAAGATCTCAACGGGCCAGCCGGGGCTACAGCTTACAACTATGACCATCGAGGCCACAATCAAACCACATAAACTGGTATTTATGATTATTTCACATAGAAGAAGGACACACGTATTGAATCGCGTCTGCACCGATTGGTTTGCTATCACAGCTCCATTAAGCCTTTAGCCCCAAAGAGCGCACATTTAGAAAGATAATGATAAATTCTCAAATGTTCACACCTCATTTCTTTGCAGAGGATGATTCTTACTATATTAATGTTCCACTAAATTATGCGATCATTGGATGAGTTTTGAGCGCTCTCGCTCATCTTACTGCCATTATACATAGTGGGGAAGAAATATCATCAAAATGATTTAAAAAATTAAAAAAAAAGCAGTTTAATGAGTTTCTGTTTTTATAACATAGCTATGCCTATGATATAGGACTTAGCCTATCACACAAACAAGAGTCCTGTTTTTTTTTTCTCGAATATCTGTACGATCGCAAATGTACAATAAACAACATCTTACAGAGTAACTTTCAGACAAAAAATTCCATTTTGCTCCGTCAGAAAGAAAATAGAACAAACAGCAGAACCGCTGCGTCTCCGAACAACAGTGTTTTGTTCCTCAGCGTTACACGGACCAGTAAATGATTCATTCAGGCTATAAGTACAGTCGTTTGCAAAGTTAAATGAATCAGCTTTTTAAACAAATCGGTTGATTCAACTCACTCATTAAGACTCACTCACTCACTTGCTGCCACCTACTGGCGGTTGTAGTTTCATAATTTAAAAAAGTAGCTTATTTCATTTTTGCAATCATTTAATATTTCTACATTAAAATGTTATAATTAAACTTAACATTTATGCACAATCCATCTATGAATTTTGTTGATAGTGATTTAATTTGATTAAGTTAATAGCCAGCATGTCTTTTTATTCGATTGAATTTATTGATTAAATAAGAACCTGGCATAAGAGGACACAGATATGATGATAACTTTTATAATACTAATAAGCTAATATCTCTGGGGGTTTTTTATTTATTTATTTATTTTATTTTATTTTTTTGCTCAAGGTTATTTCCGGGATTTGATCTCTCAACTGAGAGAACTTTGTCTATAGCCTAGACATGTTGCATATTAATTGTACTATTTATGAAACTCAAAGCATATGTTTGTGTATTTTGTGTTACTCCATAATAATGATGTTCTATTTGAGGGCATTTGTAGTGTAGATATAGAGCCCAGACATAACCTCAAGCCCAGGGGCCCCTGCTATGCTGATTGCATAGGATAGCAAAATGAATATTTTTATTATTTTAAAGAGAAGAGAAACAATAATAATTATAATCATTATTTTGTTTTTACAGTGTAATTTACTTGGCAGTCAATGGGACAGTGACAAACCCTCCCGGTTTTCATCCAAAATATCTTAAATTGTGTTCCGAAGACAAACAAAGCTTTTATGGGTTTGGAACGACATGGGGTTAAGTGATTAATGACAAAATTTTCATTTTGGGGTGGAGTAACCCTTTGACTGACATACTTCATCTTCAAAAACCATGAATAAAAATATGCAAGGTGAATGAAAATATTACAAAGAAAATTGTTTGTTTTTGTGTAGTTGTTTAATGTTTGTACAGCTTATATCATGCTAATATTTTTCACATGTTGTCAAGCCTATTTTTTTTTTTTTTGATGTGCAGTTTTGGTACTTTTTGTGGTCACTTGATGTCAAATGTACACTTTACAACCACCACAGAATAAGTATAGTGAGAAACAGAAAAGTTTTGTTGTAAATATGGTGTTACCCTATAAACATAACATCTCAAAGTATAATGGAAAAGCTTTTCCCATATTTGAGCTGGACATAAATCTTCTGGATTTAAAGGTCAGTCAATGAAAATGCATCAGCTCCTTGGTTTGGCTTTACATGTGTAATGCATTGAAAACAGACGCTCTAGATCAGCAAAACAGTGTTCACTTAACCTTTTAACATTACGTTCATTTTAATCTGTCATGGACTGAGCAAACACATATTTTTGTTTCCTAGAAGGATCTAGAAGATGATGCAACTATTGTTTGATTTAACTTATGAGTCTCATTTGCAATTGAGTTCTCCATCCTTTCGCCTCTCCAGGTGATCTACGCCCTCAACACCAAGAATGACGAGCATGAGGCGGCCATCCAGACCCTGAAGGAGGCCCACGAGGAGGAGGTGCAGCAGATCCTCTCGGAAACGCGGGAGAAGATCATGCAGTACAAGAGCAAGATCAGCGACGAGATGGACTTGAAGCGGCGTATTCAGTCTCTGGAGGAGAACATGGAGCTGCACGAGCGGATGAAGCGGCAGGCCCTGACGGAGTTCGAGACGTACCGCCAGCGGGTGGAGGACATGCAGCTGTGCACGGAGGCGCAGCACACACAGCGCGTGGTCACCATGTCCCGCGAGGTGGAGGAAATGCGCCGCTCTTTCGAGGAGAAGCTCCGCTCCTTTGGACAGTTGCAGTCCCAGTTTGAGCAGGAGAAACAGCAGGCTGTTGAGGAGCTACATGCCGCACATCGGCAGGAGGTGCGTCTACCAATTTTTGTGGTTACATGTAAAAATTTAGGTATATCCAAGGGCAAAATCGAATTCCCATTTTTAGGATTAAAAAAAGATGTGATTTTAAATGTGATTTAAAAAAATCCAGGTATATAGGACTTCACAATTTGGCCAGACTTTTGTGATTATATATCAGTATGACTATAAAATAGTACTACTACTAATTTATTATTATTATTATTATTAAATGTAGCTATTTAACAATATTACTACTGTAATATTTAACTGAAAAAAAATAAGTATTAAAAAAATTGTCATCATCATCAACATGTACATCATAATAAACTTGAATATTTAAACTTAATATGTAATTCGTTAATATGTAAACGTAATATGTGACCCTGGACCACAAAACCAGTCATAAGGGTAAATTTTTCGACATTGAGATTTATAGATCACATGAAAGCTGAATAAATAAGATTTCCATTGATGTATGGTTTGTTAGGATAGGACAATATTTGGCCGAGATACAACTATTTGAATATCTGGAATCTGAGGGTGCAAAAAAATCTAAATACTGAAAAAATTGCCTTTAAAGTTGTCCGAATGAAGTTCTTAGCAATGCATATTACTAATCAAAAATGAAGTTTTGACATATTAACGGTAGGAAATTTACAAAATATCTTCATGGAACATGATCTTTACTTAATATCCTAATGATTTTTGGCATAAGAGAAAAATTGATCATTTTGACCCATACAATATTTTTTTGGCTATTGCTACAGACCTTAAGACCGGTTTTGTGGTCCAGGGTCGCATTTATTTCTTTCTTAATTTTCAGTTAAATTATTAAACTTGCTTACTTTCAGAGTATGTGAGTGGAGCGGTGTGATTTTGAATGGAGCGAGGAGCGGATTTTTTTAAAGTCGGAGCGTCGTGGTTTTCACTCGCCCCAAGACCGCTCCATCACGAGCACAATTCATGCCAATGGCCCATAATTTATCTGCATATTTAGCAAGAATTCACATGTTAAACATATTTAGCTAGCTTGATACAGATGGATCACTCAAATCAGAAAGAATGTGAAGGGTATGATGATAGCAATGGACATGAGCGGGAAGTTATAGTTCTCAAGGAGTTTGTTTGTTCCTTCTAGATAGGCTACTGAATATTTTATGGTGAAAGCATGATTTAAACCGGTACAGCACTTATTCACACGCAATCGCTCTCTCAATAATGCATTCAAACAAATGTAATCTTACAGTGCTACTTCATCTGTACACCCGATTTCGAATGAGCAGAAATCTGTAAGAAATGCAGCGATCCGTAGATAAAATAACTGACGAAAACGTACTGTTATGTTCATTCTTCACAAACAAAATTTGCTCTGCAAAAAGCAACAATGATACCTTTTAATGCTGACAACCATGTAACATTGGCATGTGGTAGGAGAAAAGTTTGCACACTATGTTTCAAACAAGCCACTTTTCTCCTTGTATTTTATTTATTTTATTTTAATATATGTTATGAACAGAACTTCTGTGATATTTCAAAGCATAATGAAATACTTTAGCCGTAATTTTCATCATGGAGCGAAGGTGGAGCAGTGTTTCTGATATCAGTGAGCGAGGAGTGGAGCGGGAGCAGGAAATGGTGAACCCGGAGCAGAGTGGTTATTGAATGCTCGGAGGGGAAATTGTTGGCGCTCCACTCCGCTCACATTCTCTGAACCGGTCATTCACACAGCTGAATTTGTGCTCATGCTCATTATATTCACTGTTGCCCAAAAATAAAGATTTTTGTTCTGAATATAAGAGGTTGACTAACTTACATTTGTAATTCACAAATAATTCAAGTCATGTGATAAAAATTACATAGTAAAATGCAAAACTCATGTTCCGCTTTAGGCTGTTTTTATTCCATTATCAGATTGATTCATCTGGATGATTGTAAAGTCTATAGAAATATATTAAGTTAATTTATCTCAAAGAATTCCAAACGTTAAAAAATACATATTTATTTTAATTATTTATTTTTAATTTTTTTATTATTAAATGGTAGTAAAATAAAAATATGTTCAGAAAAAAAATTATTTCTTTATTTATTTCCAAATGCTAATTTTTAAGATGGATTTATTTATATTTGGGTAAATTAGCTTAATAATTACTCATTTGCTTATCTGTTTTTGTTGATTAGCATTACAGTTTTTACATGGATAGTACCTCTGGAGCAGCCTTGGTTTAAGTGCCATGGTCAAGGTCACAGTGGCCAAAGTTCATATACCGACCCTTGTGGTGTTTGAACCTTTAGTTTGCTAGCTTAGATCTTAAATCAAAGGCTACGCTACAGTAATGAAGTTTGTATTTGTCAAAATTCTGCCCTGACAACTGTACATTAAACATCAAATAACTGACAGTTGGCTGTAAATGTGTCATTCTCTGTAGCATTTTCATATTCAGTAACAGACAAATTGTTTGTGACTGGTTAGGAAGCAGCATTAGGAAGTGTTTTGCATCCATTTAAAAAAACTCAAATGAATGTTGTATTCACAGGTCCAAGAACTGCTTCGCTCACACCAAAGCCAGAATGCCAACTACAGCAAAGACCAAGATAAACTGGGACAGCTTCACAAAGCGGAGGTGGATTCACTGACCGAAAGAGTTGAGGAACTGAAACAGGACAAGAAGCGTCTGGTGGAGGAGTACGAGGCCAAGCTGAATAAAGCCCAGGCTTTCTATGAACGGGAACTGGAGGCCATGAAGCGCACGCAGCAGATGACCGCAGAGAACCTGCTGGCCTGGAAGAAGACCGAAGCCGAGCTGAGGAAGGAGTTCCAGGCGCAGGAAGCGGCGCTGCAGAAGACTCTGGGGAAGCTGCGCAGTGAACTGCAGCGGGTGCAGGAGGAGGCCAGGGAGAGCAGGGAGAAATCCCACAAACTGCAGGCCTCCCTCATTGCTGCAGAGAGCAACATCAAGGTAAAGGCCACCAGATGCATCACATGTCCTTGTTTTTTTTCTTTTGCAAATTAAATTACATTTAAAAATGATTAATTTAAATTAAATAAATTGATTTAACTTATGATTTAATTGACTTTAATTTAATGATATTGTTCACCCAAAAATGAACATTCTGTCATCATTTACTCACCCTGGTATGACTTTCTGGTCATATTTTAGTTTGGGGACCAATTTTCACTATTAACTAACTATTAACTATGACCTTTGCCTCAATAAACTCCTCCTAATTTGCTACTTATTAATTGTTAGTAAAGTACTTGTTACATTTAGGTATGGGGTAGGATTAAGGGATCTAAAATATGTTCATGCAGAATAAGCCATTAATTTGTGCTTTATAAGTACTAATAAACAGCCAATATGATAGTAATATGCATGCTAATAAGCAACTAGTTAATAGTGAGAATTGGTCCCAAAACAGAGGTGTTACCAACTTTCTTACTTTTGATATTTAGAAGAGATATATTGAAGTAAGTTTCATTGACTTCCATTGTATTTTTCCATACATTCTTTAGTGGACTTTTAATTTAATTCAATTCAATTAATTGAAGGCAACACTTTACAATAAAGTTCTATTTGTTAAATGTATTTAATGCATTAACTAACAGTGAGCAATACACTTGTTGCAGCATTTATTGATCTTTGTTAACTTAGTTAATTAAAATACAACTGTTCATTGTTAGTCCATGTTACCTCAGGTCTATTAATTAACATTAATAGATACAACTTTTAATTGTAATAATGTATTAGTAAATGTTGGAATCAACATCAACTAAGAGTAATAAATTCTTAAGAAGTATTTTTCATTGTTAGTTTATGTTAACTCATGGAGTTAACTAATGTTAATGAATGTAACCTTACTGTATAGTGTTACCTTACTGAATTATTTTTTTTAAAACTCTGATTGGCTTTGTGCAGAATTTCACTTTCATAAATAAAAGTACATTTGTTGATGCTTAAAAGTTATGTTACATATTTAATCTCATTTTATAATTCATCTAATGAGAATCATCTTATCTTAATAGTTGAAATGAGAGCAAAATTCACAACTCATATCCTAACAGGTTCCTGGCCGCTGGTCTCAATTTGAATTAACTGCTCTACATGTTTTTTTTCTTGTAGAATATCTTGTTTAAATGCATCACATTGTGATACTAAAATGGGTTACAAATGCTGTTTGAAAATGTTTAATTTACAAGTCATTTACAAACACGTAAGAACAAATACAGTATTTCTTTAACCCTCTGCAGTGTATTTTAAATAATTAAAATGGCGAACACAAAAAAATCATCGCAGTGAAAGTCAAACTACTGTAGTGTTTTGGTTTCTCTGAACACATCAGATATTTCAGACATATTTACAGAAGAGACTTCAAACGCAGTGGCACACATCCTGAACTCTGAATTGTCTTTCAAATATCTTTGAAGAAAAAAGCCAGTCAGCCAGCATGGCCCTCCAAGGCATTTCTTGGACTTGTTTCTGAATGGAAGAACTGACGAAATGTAATTTATGGGTGTCATCAAAAGATCCATGCTTGGCTTGATTTATAATATGGTTGTTCAAATGAACAATGATGGCCAGTTTAATCTTAAAGCTGGGAAGGAACTCTTTGTAGTCCCTACGAGCCAAAATCATTCCAATATCCTGATTTGGTGCTCAAGAAACATTTTTCTTCTTATTATCAATGTTGAAAACAGTTGTACTTGAAATGTTGAATTGATTATTATAAGGCAGCAGCTATCTGCGCTAAGTTAAAATAGCATGTTTTCTTAGGGTTCTATTTACACTGTGCAAATAGCGATAGATTCTGTTTACACTGTGTACAAATAGAAGTGTTGTCTTTGCAATAATATTAGTTAGATGCTATTTATACTACTCGGTGCAAGTGGCAGATATGTGCACCTCGATATTGTAGTACATTATAAAACAGTATGCAATAATAGCAATTATAATTTTTATTAAAATTCTTGAATGGATGCCACCTTATTGGGACAATTAAGCCCTCCCTACACCTACCTCTAATCCTAACCGATTAACACCCATGATGCACTTTATTTTCCACTTTTCGATTATTTCCTTCATTTTATTGAAAATAAATACCTTTCTGATGTGATAAGTGATGTGAAAAGGGAGAAGAATGAGTTCGGCGAAAGGAGGATTCGAACACGGGTCGAAAAAAGTCACAGAGTTAGTTTAAAGAGCCTCTGCCAACAAGGCGGGCTATTTGCACTTCGTTTAAATAGACACTTAATTATTATGTAATTATTAAATGTTATTATGTAATTATTATTATAAATGTTGAAAATTTCTGTTTTGTGGAAACCCATTTTTCAGGATACTTTGATGAATAGAAAGTCCAAAAGAACAGGATTTATTTGAAACCAGAAATCTTTTGTAACATTATAAATGTTTTACTGTAATTTAATTTAATAAATGAATGTGACCAATTTAAAGCATGCTTGCTAAATAAAGGTAATAATTTCTTAAAAACAAACAAGCAAAAAAAAACTAATGTTTTTTATATGGATGGATGGATGGACAGACAAAAGTACTTCAATAAGTTTTCAGTTAACCTGATGAAAAACCTGATAAACCAATAAACCTGAATTCGGTAATTAAAAGGTATATCCCAATACTTTTGTCCATTATAATATGGATGGATGGATGAATAGAAAATAGGCAAAACAGTTAATGCAGTGGTCATCTTAGTACTGTATGTCCCCAGGCAGATGTTTGTAAGTTTTTTTGTTTGTTTTTGGTTAAAAAAAAAAAAAAAAGCTCCTGTGTTCTTGAATGGGCAAAGACCTAAATCTCCAAAACGTCAAGATTATGTTTTAATAGTACATTTCAAAACGGCAATACAATCTGACAACAGTGGCGTAAAATTGATCTTTTTTAGTTCTGTACTAAAATAAAGTATTTTTCATGTTGTGCATGTTCGTTCTACCAAAAAGTCTCTATATGTAGCATTACAATGCTGAAATTTTCCTACAAGTGGTTCGTTTCTTTCTCTTTGTGCTGTCTTTGCTCTAAGAAGAACAAAATACATTGAATGAATTCATTCAGTGGAAAAGTCGATGATTTGAAAAATTGAACATGAGCTCCACAATGGTGGAAGTGAAGGAAAAAGTTCGCGAGACAATGAGCGATGGAAGCCGAGAGAAGTTCTTTTAAAAGGCGACGAAGGAGAGAGCAGAGATGAAAGGGAGAAAGAGCTAATGTGTACATG